GGTTGGATTATGTAATTGTTGTTATTTGTGTTGAATAGTCCATGGTTAAAGTGATGTAAAAGTGTTGTCAGTACCCTTTGGTTGGATTATGTAATTGTTGTTATTTGTGTTGAATAGTCCATGGTTAAAGTGATGTAAAAGTGTTGTCAGTACCCTTTGGTTGAATTATGTAATTGTTGTTATTTGTGTTGAATAGTCCATGGTTAAAGTGATGTAAAAGTGTTGTCAGTACCCTTTAATTGAATTATGTAATTGTTCAATTAAAGGGTACTAACAACACTTTTACATCACTTGAAACATGGACTATTCAACACAAATAACAACAATTACATAATTCAATTAAAGGGTACTGACAACACTTTTACATCACTTTAACCATGGACTATTCAACACTGACAACACTTTTACATCACTTTAACCATGGACTATTCAACACAAATAACAACAATTACATAATAACAACAATTACATAATTCAATTAAAGGGTACTGACAACACTTTTACATCACTTTAACCATGGACTATTCCACACAAATAACAACAATTACATAATTCAATTAAAGGGTACTGACAACACTTTTACATCACTTTAACCATGGACTATTCCACACAAATAACAACAATTACATAATTCAATTAAAGGGTACTGACAACACTTTTACATCACCTTAACCATGGACTATTCCACACAAATAACAACAATTACATAATTCAATTAAAGGGTAATTAAATGTGTTAAATGCTATATATTTACAACTCAATCAATTATTTGGTTTTTAATGAAAAAGCTATTAATTAATAAATCATCTTTTTCAACAATGAAATATAAAAATGAGCAAATCGCCTTAATAAAAAGATATAAATGAATGATTATTCTATGAAAGACGTTCATTACAGGGACAGAGATATTAATTATTACTTTCTTCAGTTTCCAAACTCTTACAAGAATCTATTGTATGCCTGCAGATAACTTAGGTTTTTAATATTTTAAATAAAAACAGTTAGGGAGTAAATTCTATGACAATATATTCACAGGCAACGTTATAACTTTTCAATGATGGAATAAATTCTTTGGTAATATACCGAAACAAAATATTAGTATTTCAATATTAAAGAGGAAATTTTTTGCAGTATATATAGTTGACATTTTCAACAATTCATTGTTTCTTTATATACAGTCCTAAAGATGTCTAATTGACATAAGGAAGAATGTGTGTGGGGGGTGGGAGGGTGTCTCTTTGATTTTAAATGGATTCATTCACTTTTCTGGAGTTTATCTTCTAAAACCTGCACTAGCAGACTTGGAACTTACGTTTCAGGCAAGTGGAGCAAAATTTATCACATGAAGATGAATTCTTTATTCAATTACATTTTGTTTTTTTTAACATAACTATTATTTCTTGGTTGTTTTATTTCTGTGGCTTGCAAATATTAAACCACAAAAACACTGTAGTATAAGATAAATAACCATGCTTAAATATCTATTAGTTTAAACAAGAAAATAAATACACTTACAAGCCCTTTTTTTAAAACACTCATTACAAGTAAAGATGCAAAGATAATTAAAGCTCAAAATACAATCATATGCAACTTTTACAAAAACAATAAATAAAATCACTTTCCAAGGTGAAGCAAACTGAAATAAAATTAAAGTGAAAAAAAAAGTCTTATTACACCAAGCCTGGATGTTGAGAGGATTGAACCTAGTGACAGAGTGAAAAGTACCACGTGCTTTGGAAGTTATTATCCTAGAAGGTGTGACCTACTTGATGTCATGCTGTGTTATGTGGTTGTTTGGATTTGCCTCCAGTGACCACAACAAAGTTCACATAGTCCAAAATACACTGTTACAGTACAAAGACGGATACTTGCATGTGTCTTACTTGCACAACTGATACATCCAATAAAAATATTTGTAAGAATGTTCTTCTTTCAAAATTTAACTTCTGATACAGGAATAAGGAGCTAGTGATTGCACTGTTCATTTAGACTTTAACAATTAATATTTTTCTTTAGCAGGATTTTTTTCATACTTTTATTAGAATTTCAGCACTGTTGGTAAAGAAAAACCAAGAACATATAATACTTAGATAACACTGCTTTCAAGCTTCAGTAAGCAGCTTGTCACGGGTGTCATTGGTTGCTCTTAGGTTAAAGGTATCTCTACACATACACTTTATTGTTTGTAAAAACACATACTACTTAAATAACACTGCATTCAAGCTTCAGTAAGCAGCTTTACTAAATCCTGCTGTTATTTTACAATAGTGCTTTCATTACCATAAATCTTTACCAAAAGTTGGACTCCTGTCAAGTTACCAACATTTCCACAATGCAGTACATATGGCCCTCCCTATCACTAAAGTATTTAGACCCTCGGGAACCATGTTCCTTTGCTGTATGACACACAGCAAGTGTTATGATGATGAAACACATATACCACACACACACCTCAACTAAGTATACTACAGGATGTCCCAGAAGTCTGGACCCCTAGGGAAAAAATACACAATTTATTCTTAATTTATTTATTATTCAAATTGGATGCCATTAACAACCATACATATATTAATTCTTGAGATACTGTACCATCAGGGTATTTCCTTTCCTGAAATATGTACAACTGACATAAGAAATGTGTTTGTTGAACATTAAAAATATAGTGTCTATAATCCCTATGGGCCCAGACTTCTGGAACACCCTGTACAACTCCTGCAAACTTGCAACCTTAATAAAGCATGTAGAACTACTTATAACAGTATATATACAGTTAGAATCTATAACTATAACACGTTGCTGTGTTTCAGATTTCACACACAATTCTACTTCTCTACAAGTGGAACAATAATTATAAGAAATTATTTTTCATTCCAAAAACATACATGAATCAAATTTACTACAACAGTGGTAGTTTGTTAAATACCACTGAAATGAGAATACTTGCATACAAATCTACAAAACTGGTTTTAAAGCTAGTCTTCCATAACACATTTTTTGGCCCTTTGTTTAAGAGATGCTAAATACACCATTTTTTGTTTACAGAATTGAAGAAAAAGCATACACAATTGTACGTTTCACAAAAACTTCATTAATTCACGATGATGGTTTCACCAATAAAGGCATCATCAGGTACATTCAGATAAGTAAAACACTTTTACATCACTTTAACCATGGACTATTCAACACAACGGCTGTATGGTAGAATGCCACATTTTGAGACTACTCCCCCTTCATGGGTGTCTGGCTGTATGGTAGAATGCCACATTTTGAGACTACTCCCCCTTCATGGGTGTCTGGCTGTATGGTAGAATGCCACATTTTGAGACTACTCCCCCTTCATGGGTGTCTGGCTGTATGGTAGAATGCCACATTT